CTCCCAAGTAGCTGGGACTACAGGTGCCCGCCACAACGCCTGGCCATTTTTTGGTTGCAGCCGTCATTGTTGTTTGGCAGGCCCGGGCTGGGGATTCGAACCTGCCACCTTAGGTGTACATGGCCGGCGCCTCAGCCACTTGAGCCACAGGCGCCGAGCCGAAGCAACAGACTTTTAAAAGCTTAATAAGGGATTATCAGTAACAATTCTACACACATACATTTGATTCCACTTTCCTATTTATTTATTTATTTATTTATTGAGATAAGAGTCTCATTTTGTTACCTTCTTTCGAGTGCCATGTCGTCATAGCTCACAGCAACCTCAAACTCTTGGGTTCAAGTGATTCTCTTGCCTTAGCCTCCCAAGTAGCTGGGACTACAGGTGCCCACCACAACGCCTGGCTATTTTTTAGAGACAGGGTTTCGCTCTTGCTCAGGCTGGTCTTGAACTACTGGGCTCAGGTCACCCACCTGCCTTGGCCTCCAGAATGCTAGAATTATAAGCATAAGCCACTGTGCCTGGCCTTAATATCACTTTCTTAATAGATACATATTATTAAAACTCAAAAACAGGGGATTACCTGGATAACTAACTCTCCTTGTCTTCTATCTACTATAATCCTCTATTTCTTATATTTTAAAAATCTTGCCAGGTGTGGTGGCTCATGCCTGTGACCCCAGCACTTTGAGAGGCCAAGGCAGGATGACTGCCTGAGGCTAGGAGTTCAAGATCAGCCTGAGCAACATAACGAAAGTCTGTCTCTCCAAGATATAGAAAATTTAGCTGAACATGGTGGCATCCATGCCTGTAATCTAGCTACCTGAGAGGATGAGGCAGGTGTATCACTGAAGCCCAGATGCTTGAGTTTGCAGTGAGCTACGATAATGCCATTGCACTCAACTTCAAGCAATAAAGTGAAAATTACAGAGGTGGTTTCATTAGTGAAAACTATCAAACACTTAAAGGAGAAACACCACCAATTCATCATAACTCTATTCCAGAAAATAGCAATACAGAAAATACGTCCCAATTCATTTTATGATACCAACATTGCTCTTTTTCTTTCTTTCTTTTTTTTTTAAGAGACAAAGTCTCACTTTGTCACCCTTGGTAAAGTGCTGTGGTGTCACAGCTCACAACAACTTCCAGCTCTTGGGCTTAGGCAATTCTCTTACCTCAGCCTTCCGAGTAACTGGGACTACACGGGCCTGCCACAACGCCCACTATTTTTTTATTGTTGTTGTTGCAGTCTGGCCAGGACCGGGTTTGAACCCGCCACCCTCAGTATATGGGGCTGGTGTCCTACTCATTAAGCCACAGGTGCCACCCCTTTGTTTTTTAAATGAGACATAGTGTCATTATGTTGTCCAGGCTGATCATAGCATACTCCAGCCTTGCACTTCTGGGTTCAAATGATCCTGCGTCAGCCTCCCAAGTTGCTGGGATCCCCATGCCAAGCTCAACCAGTACTCTTACATGTAAACCAAAGATAATACCAGAGTAGAAAACTACAGATCAATATCCCTAATGAATATAAATCCAGACATTTGTAACAAAATTTATGCACATTGAACTCAACCATACGTAAAAATTAAAACATACCTCAACCAAGTAAGGTTTATCTCAGAAATGCAATGTTAGTTTTCTGAGCATTTGAAAAACAATGTCATTCACAGATTTAATAAAAAGAACCACCTGATCACATCAATAAAGTAAAAAAAATTAACAAACTTTAACATCCATCCAGGGTAAAAAGTGTCAACAATTTATGGTGACAATGATGTGTCAGCATAGGTTTATCAACTGTAACAAATGTATCAACTTACCTGTTGACAGAAATTTTATAATTAGCTGTTTATATCCACAAAGAACTCCAGCAGGGTCATGAGTGGTACTGTATTAAATCTATAGATCAATTTTGGGAAAACTGGTATTCTATTTTGAGTATTCCAATCTATTAGCAGTATGCCTCTTCATTTATTTAGATCTTTTATTCAATCAGAGTTTCCTGGTTTGTAGCATACAAATCCTATACCTACTGTATAGAACAAAATTCCTCCTTCCCTAAACATAGCTGATCATCAGATTCCTAAATTCATGACCCATTATCACATTTGGTAAGAACATTCTAAAGTTTACTCCATCAACAAAGAGAACAGAATTGAGAGGAAAATGAGACTCTTACTTGAGCTTCCTGAACTTTTTGAAGCTCTGATTGAAAGTCTTCCCCATTTCCATTATCTTCATCAGTATCACTGCAGACTCCACAAAAAAAAGTAGGTGGAAGTTTTAATGTATCTGCTTTCGCCTTCTCTTCAACTGTTGGTTTCTTTTCCCAAACAATAACACATTCCTTCTCATTATCTGAAATCCATACAACACAAGCAAAATAAAAGATAAAATTAAATGAAGTCCAACTACTCTACAGCAATGGTCACCACCAGTGGTCTTCAATGTAATCCACAGACCCAGGCGACAAGACATGCTGATGAAGAACAAGGACTACCAGGAAAGCATTGTTTTTCACCTAGTATCCATTTTAAATATTTTAAATTGCCACAGGCACACTACCTAAGTAAAATTGATGGCTACAGAACTGATCAGACTAGGTTATTCTTTAAATAGAAAATTTGTTAAAAACTATTCTAAACAGTCATTTAAACTTAACATACCTGCTAGATTTTTCTCCAATGGCCAACATTTTTCTGAGTCATCCAGATATAGTTTTCCATTAAGTTTCTTGACAGCTGTTTCAAAATCTTCATCTTAAAGTACAACAGAATAAAAGAATGTCTTTTACATTTAGTACATTTTAGGGGGTTCTTAGTCAGAAACCTAGACCTAGATTATCTCTAATCTCATTCTCAACATACAAACAGCAGCCAATTTTGCCAAGTCCATATTCTTTTTTTTTCTTTTTCCAATTCCATATTCTTAATACTTCTCTGCCTATTAGAGCTTCAGCTGGGCCTCTCTTCTTATTTGAACTACTCTACAATCATTTTAGTTCATTGTCCAATTTCCTTGTCCTAAAACCTAATCCTCTATACCACTGTCCAAGTGATACTATTGAAGAGTTTTGTAAGCATGTACATAAACTTCCCAATTTAAAAGTTCTGGTACGGGCCAGGCACGGTGGCTTACACCTGTAATCCCAACACTCTGGGAGGCTGAGCCAGGTGGATCACCTGAGCTCATGAGTTCAAGACCAGCCTGAGCAAGAATGAGATCCCAGCCTCTAAATATAGCCAGGCATTGTGGCAGCTGCCTATAATCCTGCTACAAGGAAGGCTGAGGCATGACAATCACTTGAGTCCAGGAGTCTGAGGTTGCTGTGAGATATGACGCCACAGCACTCTACTGGGGGTGACAAAGTGAAACTCTGTCCAAAAAAAAGTTATGGTATGGTATATAAAGTTTTCCATTTGTGGAAGTCTGTGAGCCATCCACAAATCACTTGCTTAATAAATGCAGTTCTTCTGATCATTACAACCACTGATTATTTAAACAAATACTTAAGATAAATATCTACCTGTAAGTAATAAGTTCTAGGATGCAGTCTTAAAATAACTAAACTATACTCTAAATTACTAAGATTATAAGGAACAAGAGTGTTTTCAAAATAACAAAACATTTACCATCCTCCTCTTCTTCACTAACATAATCTGGTCTATTCTTATAGCAGAAGAAAGTTGGAGGAAGTTTGAGTTTGGTTGCAAGGGCTTTCTGCTCAGCAGTCGGAGTTAGTTCATACACAATGAGAACATCATCATCTGAGGAAGGATCTTCAGATATTTCCTTCTCTTTTGCTATAATACAAGTCAAAAAAGTTGATGAAAACACAGTATTGACATCAGTAACTGAAAACAAAAACCACAAGACTTATCCATAGGTTTAAAAAGTATACTGGTAAAAACACACATATTAAATACTTTGATGTAGACAGAGCTCTGTAACAAACATGAATTAGAAATCCTTAGTGAACAGAGAATCTATTTAAAACCAAAAAAAGGCCTGTGTTTCCTTATTAATCATTGAAAAGAACTTACTAATTTCTATTAATTTAAAAAGGTATTTAGAAAGTGTTGTATACCCATATGTCATACTAAACAATAGTTTATCAAAAAAAAACACATCAGCAACTGAAAAAAATCTTTAAAAAGATAAGCGAAGATTAGTATACACACAAAACTAATCAAAAGCCAACCTTGATGAGTTTCTGTAAGTTAACTGTCATGAGTGACAGGTAATTACAGTTACATTCAGTTTTTCATATCTCCAATCATGATACTAAATAAAATTAAATAAAACTGCTATCCTATTGCTAATACTGTATAATCTAAGACAATTTCTGTAACTTAAAAATATCCTGCTCAAAGCCCTGCCAACAGAAAAGACAGAAAGTATGAGGTAGAAAGGAATTCTACATGCAATCTGTTATGGTCAATAAAGAAGAATTTCTGGCTAAAAAATTTGATAAAGTAAGCCAGTCATGAAGTATTCCATGTACCAACTGTGTTAGGGAAAAATTCCCTACAGAGCTCTGCTATCCATTATAGCAGCCCAGCAATGTGTGGCTATTAAACCCTTGAAAGGTAGCTAGTCCATACTGAGTGCTATATATTAAGTGTAAATATACAGAATAGATTTTGAAGACTTGGTATTTACAAAATGTAAACTATCTTATTAATTTTTTATACTGATTAAAAGTTGACATTTGGGATATAAATATATCATTAAAATTCATCTCATTTTTCTCTTTTCTTAACCTCTTCTTTTTAGATATAGCTATTAGAAAATGTCAAATTACATACACTAGTTGGTTATATTTTACTTCTGCTAGATAAAATTACAGACAACCAGAGCCCTTCCTTTTACAATGCTAAACTTGGCCCTCTCCTTTGTTGTAAATAAAAACTTAGGATCCATCCCTAGCCAGGGGACAATAAATGTATACTATAAGATACAAATTCTAGTTCCAGTTCTGCTATTACCTGGTAAAGATGCTGCAGGTAAATCAGATAACCTCTCTGGGCCTGTTTCTTCATGTCTAAAGTCTTCTGGGACTACGATATTATCAGATTTGAAACAGAATAAGACTCTCTGTCCTGTAGTAGTACACTGGTGAATCTGTTCTTAGGCTAGGGATTCTTTTTTTTTTTTTTTGGCAGAGCCTCAAGCTGTCCCCCTGGGTGGAGTGCCATGGCATTACAGCTCACAGCAACCTCCAACTCCTGGGCTCAAGCGAGTCTCCTGCCTCCGCCTCCCAAGTAGCTGGGACCACAGGCGCCCGCCACAACGCCCGGCTATTTTTTGGTTGCAGCCGTCATTGTTGTTTGGCGGGTCCGGGCTGGGGATTCGAACCCGCCACCTTAGGTGTACGTGGCTGGCGCCTTAGCCGGTTGAGCTATAGGCGCCGAGCCAGGCTAGGGATTCTTAACCTAGAGCCCACAGAGACTGTGTGCAAATACATATCCACTTTTTTATAAAGTCCACATTTCTCATGTTATTTCTCAAGGACTGCATCTTTAAAAATAAAAGATTAGGAGCTGCCTTAGCTAGTAACCAAACTGGTATACTTAAAAAACACCAGAAATCAAGGACTGTTATTTCACCACTATACTTGTTTGGGCATGCCCCAAATGTGTTATCAGACCCAAATTAGGAGTTTTCATTTACCTAACCTTGCTCTTGATGGTCTTCAACAGATCCTACTTTCTATTGTTCCACTCTAGTAGCAACACATCTACAAATGATTTGCACTACATACATAAGCTACACATCTATGAGCTATAGAATGGTGGCTGTTAAAATGGGATCTCCTTTCAAATATAATACCTTTCTAAACCACATACAAAAGGATAGCCCTAAAGGGATATTCTATTCCATAATGTATACACACTACTGCCACCACTACATTTCAATACTGGCAGACAATTAGTGGCTAAAGGTAAAGATTAGATGAAACACAGGTTTTCATTAAGCAGAACTGAAATAGCAGAGCAATGAAGTATAACACAGTAAAAAATAACAATACATGACAGTGAGAAAACATGACACGCAAGTACATTTGAAGAAAAAACAAAGCAGCATTAAGGGCATGTTACTGATCGAAAGGTACTTCCATTTAAACTGACATTCTTCAACATGCATGTTGTAGTGTTAAGTACTTAATTCCACACAGCCAGTTACTTTACTAAGGCTGCAAAAACTGCTGCCATCTCATTCGAGAATGCTAGCTTTATACCTTTGCTCTCAGGCTGTGAAGAAGGGGTGCTGGTCCAAAAGGCCATGGGATTAGATTTAAAAAGGCTAAAATTAAATCCTAAAAAATAAAGAGTATTTCATTTTTTGAACATTTTGGGACAAAATAAATATGATTTTAAAATAGAAATATCAATTTATACTAGTCTAGTTGTCTTGCATATTCATTTATCCTGGTAGTTTCATTCTTTGCTTACTTAATAAATGGTGGCATGAGCAACACGTAAAATGTAAACATCTCAATACCATGTTCTTTTATAATAAATTGAATGCTGAAAATGAATACAAAAAGATCTGCATCGATGTGCATGATTAAGTCCTCATGCTATAGTGAGTTCTTCTGCTCTGCCCTGGCATTATATAAACATCTTCCAGTAAAATCTCTTAAATGACTTAAAATCTGTTGCTGTTTCACTGTACTCACAGTGAGTATATTTAGGGAGATAAAAATGTGCTTGAATATTTTTGGGTATTTACAAAACAATGCTTATGATTCAACTCTGACTAAAAGATTAGCATCCTAAGAAGAGTCAGCATTAAGATAAATACGAAAAGGAAAATAAAACAAAACAAAACAAATGTTGTGAACTCTAAAGACTAAGCACTTACCTTTTTCTGGTGTTTTAAATGCATAATTAATGGAGGACTCTTCCTTTGGAGTCAAAAATAGATTTTTGACTTTGCCATCTGAAGATTGTTTGCCATCAGGGTTCTTTGACAGTTCACATTCGTTTGGTTCCACTTTTCTTTCAGATCCACTCGGTACTGAATTAGTTTCACTGCTGTTATTTTTCAAAGGTGTATTAAAACTAAATCCAAACAAAGACCCAGTTGCTGAACTGTTGCCAAATGCAAATGGTTTTGATTTTTCACTACTAAAAATGCTTTTAACAGACTCTGAACCAAATACAAACTTTGGAGGAGAAACCACTGCTTTTGTTGTTGTTTCAGATGTGCTAGAAACTTCTCCAACTTCTGAAGTTGCATCAGCTACATCATCACTCTGAATTAAATCTGTTCTCTCTCTTGTGGTTTCTTCTAAAACTGCTACAGCAATTTTGCCACACGGTGACTCTCTGGGAGTGCTTGAACAAGAAACATGAGGTGTTATCAAAGAATCTTTTTCTTGGGCTGTTTTTGCTTCATCAAAAATTTTCTTAAAGGAGTCTGCAACATCTTGTAGTTTAAAACGGACAGCTAAATGTTCTACTTTTCTTTCTCCATCTGCAAAATCACACGCAGTCCATACCCACACTCTTTCTGTCCCTTTCATATTTTGCAAAGTCATGTCTGGAGTTATTCTGTGATTGGCACAAAGTTTTAATACCTGGTCCCTTCTCATCACTATACGAACTTGTTTGTTATCGTAATTCTGTAAAATCTTTATATCACCAATGCCCCTTTCTTTCCACTGACCAACATCTTTATCATATCTGTAGAGTTTTGCTCTATGACTAAAAACAACTTGTTCATTTTCCTCACCACTGGATACTTCAACTAGATCAGGTAAAGGTACAACAGGTTCAAAGTACTGTCCATCCCTCTCTTCTTCTTGAGTAACATCAGATTCTTCATCAGTGCCAACTGAAGTCCCACTCTGATTCAACTTGGCAGGAGACTTAGATGGACTCAAGGCAGATTTAAAACTGAAATTAAAACCTGTTGTCGACTCACCAAATCGAAAGAGATTTTTTCTCACAGGGCTACTTGCCAATGGAGAAGACTGTACCGATCTACTACTATCATCCAAAGCATCTTCCCTTAAATCATAGTTGTCCCATTCTAATGTGGGTCCTGTGTTTTCAGGATTTGGCTTAATTGTCATGTCTGAAACACTGGCAGCACCTGTACCTGAATTCTTATTCTCTTCATCAGTAACTTTTGTTTGATCATTTGTCAAAAATGTTTTGAAATCTTTCAGTCCACTCTTCATTTCTTCAGCTCTCTGTATTAACTTGGCAGCTCTGCCAGTATCTACAAGTTTATGGGGAGTCTGAAGTGGTATATCTAAAAGAAGTCGCTGGCACTCCTCAAATTTCTGCTTGAATTCTTCTGCCAGCTCTGGTGTTTTAAATTTTGCTGCCAACTGCTCTAGTTTGGCATCACCATCAGAGAAATCACTAGCTAACCACATCCATGCTCTATCTGACCCAGAGAGAGGCTTCAGGTTCATTGTAGTTGTTATCCAATGATTAGCACACACTTTCAGCACTTGTTCTCTTCGCATGAGCATTCGTAGCTTGCCATTGACCTCATTTTTGAGAATTTTTAAGTTCCCTAAACCCCTTTCTTTCCACTGACTTATCTCAGCATCAAATCTAAATAATTTTACCCGCTGTGAATACAGAACCTTTTCATCTTCCTCTCCTGTTACAAGTTCCACTTTTTCAGGCATTTGAACTACTGGTTCAAAATGGATGTCATCATTGTCCTCAGTTTTATAGGCATCATCATCTTTCTCAAGGTCAGTAGAAGTGTTGGCTTTATCAGCTACTTTACCACTCTGTGATGAGAATAATTTTTCTCCAGCACCTGAAAATCCCTTGAAGTTAGGGTCTTTTTTGCCAAACTGAAATCCTTCTCCTGAAGTTGATTTTGCAAGATCTGCAAAGGTAAAAGTGCTACCTGTCTGACCAAAAATCACACCACTACCATTCTTCTGGCTATTAACATCCTGAGCCAGGAAACCAGTTTCATTTTCAAGGTGCTTTTCATTCTTCTTCTCTTGATTTCCTGGTTCCTGAATGCCAAATTTAAATCCATCAGCAGACACAGGAATGGAAAAACTAAATCCGTCTTTTGTTGACTTGGATTCTGTATTAGAAGAACCCTGAAATGTAAATGAAGGCATATTTACTTGATCCACATGCCCAAATTTAAATCCTTGCTCTGTGTTGCCAAATTTAAAAGCTTTTTCTGAAAAGTTACTTTTAAATCCTGTTCCCACCTGACTTCCAGAAGTCTCGTTTAACTTTGTTTTTGAGCCCAATGTGAAAGCTGACGGAACTTCTGCAACAGGTTTGGCGGCATCACAAGCTACACATTTTAAGGAAGAACTCTCATTTTGTACAAAGCAAACACCACAATCCCACTGCCCTTCCTTTTTGATGAACATTCCTTCAAATCCACTCTTTGGAGCCTTGCTTGTCTCTGAAGAGGCAGGTGCTGAAGTAACAGAAGCTGGCTGACTCTGTTTGCCTGGATTCTGACAGGCACTACATTTGGTGGCATTGGCTTCATTTCTTCCTAAGCACACACTGCAATCCCACTGCCCTTCCTTCCTGGTGAACATTCCTTCAAACCCACTCTTTGGAGACTTGCTTGTCTCCGAGGTACCAAATTTAAAAGAGGCAGGAGCTGGAACGGCAGAAGTAGATGAACTTGGTTTAAATGGATTCTGACAAGCAACACATTTTGTAGCATTTGCTTCATTTCGCACTAAGCATGAGCTGCAATCCCACTGTCCTTCCTTCTTTGCAAACATGTCCTCAAATCCACTCTTTTGAGTTTTACTTATCTCTGAAGTACCAAACTTAAAAGAGGCAGGTGCTGAAACAGTAGTAGTAGGGAGGTTTTGTTTCCTTGGATTCTGACAAGCAACACATTTTGAAGAGCTTCCCTCATTTTGTACCAAGCATGTGTTACAAACCCATTGTCCCTCCTTTGTAGAAAAAACAGATCTAAAATCGCTGTTAACAGACTTAGGAAGATCTCCCTGGCCAAATTTAAAGGAAGCTTGATGAACAAATGAAGATCCACTTTTGTTAGCAGATTTTGTATTCTGGCATGTAATGCACCTAGACACAGTAGGTTCATTTCTTACTAAACAAACACTACAATCCCAGTGACCTTCTTTCTTTGGAGTCATCAATGCAAATCTATCTTGAGCATTTTCTGGGCCAGTTTTAGGAGCAAAAACAGCATCAACTAATGGTGGACCAACCAGCTCTTTATTGCTTGGATTTAGATTTTGGCATGATACACATTTCTTAGCATTTGCAGCATTCTTTAATGAGCAGCTATTACAATGCCACCAAAATCCTTCTTTCTTTGCAACTTGAAATTCAAAATTCATGTTTCCAGCATCAGATTTGTTATCATGACTTGTAGGTTCTTTTACAATTCTGATTGTCTGATTTGGTGCTGTGGCTACATTTGTTCCTATGGCTTTTAAAATGCTCTGGGCCTCTTCAAACTTGCGCTTAAAAAGTGCTGCTTCCTCAGGTGTTTTGAATCTAATAGCAAGTTGTTCTGGTTTTGGCAACTCATCTGCATAATCGAGGGCATGCCATACAAAAGAACGGTCTGATCCAGCATTTGGTGTCAGTTTCATATCTGGACTGATGTAATGATTTGCACAGATTTTCAATACTTGTTCTCGTCTCATGAGAAGACGAATTTTACCAGATGTTTTATGCCTTAGTATTTTTACATTGCCAATCCCACGTTCCTTCCATTCTTTTGATTCTCCATCAAAACGGAACAATTTTGCACGATTGCAAAAGAACTCTTCCTCATCTTCTTCACCAGTTTTTACTTCAATCTTATCGGGAAGAGGTACCACAGGCTCAAAGTGAGGGCCATCATCATCATCATCCCCTTGAGCACTTCCTCCATCTATTTCATGATTCTTGTTTGCCAGCTCTGGAGCAGGGGTTCCAAATATTGATTTGCCTGGACCATGGAAAGTAAACATATCATCACTCCGACGAAACCCAGAATTCTTTTGCTGATTTGGCCCCATGTTTTCTGTAAATGAAATTCCAGGCATATTTCTGCTTTCAAAATTGAATGTATTTTGAGGCCTATTGGCTTGACTAGGAACTGATTTTGGTCCACTATAGCCATCTCCTTGCAAAGGTTTATCTGAAGTTAGGAGACCTAAAAGGCTTTCACTGTTACTGTAAGTTGCAGGAGCAGGCTGTGTCACAACCTGTGGTGAGGAAAATGTGAAGTCACCATCATTTGATTTGAAATTTGAGTTAAATTTAAAAGGAGTTGACTGTGTTGTATGTACTGATGTTGTCAAAGATGGTCTTATTCCTTCACCCAGCATGGGCTGAACAAAATTAGTTTTCCCAAATTCTATAACCTTAGATTCTGCAGATCTTGAGGCATGAGCTGCAACTGGAGGTTTTGTGAAGTATCCTGGTTCCGGCAAAGGTGGATTTGTGCTTGTCTGTTGAACATTGTAATTAAGATAATCATCGCCCCTGGGAGATAAAATTCCTGTTGAAGGAGGATCAAAACGCAATGTAGGAGGACCATACATCTCCTGAGAGAACATGCAAGCAGATGAGCTTTGCACTGGTGGTGTGTGCATCTGTTGGGAACAGGCATAAATATGCTGTTGGGGTGGAAGCCTATTCATGCCATAGACTGGACCCTAAAAGAAAAGAAAGTTAAAATATTTTGTAGATTATCTACCAAACTAGATAACTAGATACAAACCAATTCTCACAAACCTTAAACATAAATATCAGGTAAAGAATGTATCGTTACGTATCATTAAGAAAGCAACATAACTGTAAAGATATCTGCATATATACTCAGCACAAAATTAAGATTAATGATTTTGAAAATCTTAGGAATTATTTCTACAATAAATCCACAGAATAAATATCTTCTTTATTCCTAAACAATACATCAAATGATGTTAACAATAATAATGATGATGATCATGATAATGAAGACTAACATTTATTGGTCACTGTTCTGAACACTTTATAAACACATACAGTATATTATATCATTTTAATATCCTCAAAACCCTATGAATTAAGGTATTATTATCCTCATTTTACATAGGAGGCAACAGAAGCACTGAGAGGTTAAAGAAAATTGCCCAAGGTCACAATAAACAAAAGAGAAGGATCTAAATGCACCCCAGCCTTCTGTCCTCAAAGCCCTCACATTCAACTACTATGGTAATTTTGGGTCTCAATCAATAATTACATATAACATTCTCAGGCCCCAAGTACATACCACATAGTAGTTCAGCAAGAATATTGTAGTTCTACTTCTGTCAAAACAGAATAATGAATGACCCAAAACCACCACCACTCTCATTTTAAAAATATTCTAAATGTACACACTTATTAAACATAAAAATGAGGTGACTAAGAAGTATAACTTCTGTATCTGGAGAGAGATTTAAAATATCTCTACCCTAAAAGAACTTACTTATAAATATATAAATTATTCCTTTGTTACCTTTGTGGGAGTAACATTAGCTGCTGGTCTGAGAAGGTACTGGGAATTATATGCTGGTGACTGACTATAATATACTGGAGAGCCAGTAGTTGCAACTAAAAAAAAAAGGTGGGGGGGGAGAAAATATTGTTAAAGTCTGTGCTATAGTTATAACTATCTAGGCAAGAAGTATAAATACAAAAGCAAAAGAAATCAAAGAAAGATATAACTACACAGCTTTTTAAGTTTCTATATATCAAAACATACCAATCATGGAGATCAAATGACAAATTAGAAAAAACTACTGGCTAAGTGCCTGTAGCTAAGTGGTTAGGGTGCCGGCTACATGTACCAGGGCTGGTGGGTTGGACCCCGGCCAGGCCTGCTAAACAACAATGACAACAAAAAAACAGCCGGGCACTGTGGTGGGCGCCTGTAGTTCCAGCTATATGGGAGGGTAAGGCAATAGAATCTCTCAAGCCCAAGAGTTTGAGGTTGCTGTGAGCTGTGACGCCAAAGCACTCTACTGAGGGCGACATAGTGAGACTCTTGTCTCCAAAAAAAAAGAAAAGGAAAAAACTGTTAAATATGACAGAAGTAGTAAGGGATTAGTACCACTGTGATCCACAAGAACATGTGCCTAACAAGCACCAAAAAAGGAAAGAAGAAGAAAGCAGTTGGTCCATTTTGTATGATTTGAAAGCACAGATATGCTCATTATCAGAAATGCTGGGAATATACGACTCACAAAAACGTCTTAGGGAGCCAAAGTGTATCTTATAGCATTAGGGCCATGTTTTTCAAGTGGGCCCTGAAAATCGGCAGAATGATGAGGTTACACTCAAGCTATTACTAAAAATGTTCAAGTAAAAAAAAAAAAAATCATCTGACAAATTTACACAAAGGAACCAAAATGTGCTCCTTGGTTTAAAAAAAAAAAAAAGCAACTCAACATTTATTTATGTTGATACACAAACTATCTGCCCTATCTATTTTGTGTTTAACCAGGAAATCATACAATTAGAAAAAGCATTCATTTTGGCAAAACTACAGTCAATTGCATGAACTGCTGAGAATGCTGAAGCACTGAGCATGCCTCATACAAAAAACCTTTAAAACTTATACCATATTTGTTCCTATAAATTGCTAAAGGATTTTATAAACTAAAAAGTCAACACTAGCAAGAGTGCAGACAGCAATATCAGATACCAGTGGTAAGAGTATAAAGTGAATTTTTTAAATACTCTATAATTGAAGGACTGTGTCCTATCATTTCTAACAGCATATGCTGGAAACCACATAAATAAGAAAGCAGAATTCACAGTACTTCCACATGATGGAGTATCGCAAAAAAATTAAAACTCAAAGAAAATTTAACTTTAAAAATGCTCAAAACCCCAAAAAAAGTCATCTACCTACAATAAAACAATATGATTAACAACCTCATGAAAAATACTTTATGTATACAAAGAAAAACAATCAGAAGGAAATGCTTCAAAATGTTAATAGACGCCATGTGATAAAGTAGTTTTTCGTTCTGTACATTGTTCCCTACTTCTGAGTATCTCCTACAAGATTATAAATCATCTATTTTAATACATTTTTACTTTCATTAAGAAGTCTATAAGCAAAGGAACAGAAATCAGGAGTCCTGGACTCTCTCTCCCTTTCAGTATCCAAAGCTTTATGACCTTGCTATCAATAAACTATTTGGAATCTCCATTTTTCTCAATTGCAAAATGAGGATGGGATGCTTCTACACATTTCATAGGGTCACTCAGTAAGACAATGTAAATGTTGTGTTTATATGCTTATATAATACCAGAACACTTTTTATGCCTGTGCATAGAAGAGAAATTGTGACTCAAATGATGACAAATGACTAACTGCACACAGCACTGAAAAAGCCCTAGAAAAGGCTAGCCAGCCTATTTGCCCTCTTACAAAGCTCTAGACCAGTGTTTTTAACCCTTTTCATCTCATAACACACTTGAACCTGTAGTTAAATCTTGGTGGCACACTTAATATACTTACTGTGCTCTGAATTTCTTTTGAAAATAATTTAATTAATGATCTTTAAAATTTTTTGCAGCATACCAAGATCCACTCATAGCACATGGGTTGAAAATCACTGCTGTATACAATGCACCAGATTTTCTTTTTTTTGAAACAGTCTCACTTTGTCCTCAATAGAGTACAGTAGCTTCATAGCTCACAGCAACCTCAAACTCTTGGGCTCAAGTGATTCTCTTGCCTCAGCCTCTCAAGTAGCTGGGACTACAGGCACCCACTACAACACCTGGCTATTTTTAGAGAAAAAACCAGCTCTCACTCAGGCTGGTCTCAAACTGGTGGGCTCTGGCAATCCACCCGACTTGGCCATCTAGAGTCCGAGGATTATAGGTGTGAGCCCCCACACCTGGCCTCAACGCACTGGGTTTTTAAGAAAGCAAGGTTTAAACTCTCTAAACTCTACACTTCTCACATGGTTATCTATGACTCATGACATTTAATAAGCTTGACTGCACAAAGTTTTTTTGTTATTTTGTTTACCTTAGAAGACATTCTGCCCTAAGTATGGTCCTAAGAACCAATAATACAAATGTGCTAATGTGAATAAGACCTTATCATCCTAAATCACTTCTGGGCTAAAAGCAATCAGAAAAAAAAATATGCCTTACCACTCTTTCTGCAGTCTGTCTTATGTAAAAGAAACCTACTCTTATTGTCATTTCTGGCTGCCAAGAAACAATGTATCATATTGGCAGGCATTCTGGAGAAATACTGTAGAGTTTAAATGATAGAGGCTCTATCATTAACTAGCTGAATAATAACAGATTAAATTACATAACCTTTCCGAACCCACTTCTTCATTTATAAAACTGAGATTAATAGTATTACCTACCACTCTTGAGTTACCGGGATTAATAAAATTGCATTCACAAAGCATTTTTGCACATAGTCAAATCACAGCAGTAAGCACTATTAATATTTATAGTTCCGTAGGTGTTTACTGTATACCAGTGGTCCCCAACCTTTCTGACACCGGGCACTGGTTTCACGGAAGACAACTTTTCCACGTAGGGGGTGGGAGGTAGAGAATCGGATAGCAGGTAGTGCTCAGGCACTGATGCTATGCAGCCTAGTTCCTAACAGGCCACAGATAAGTACCTGGTCCACGGCCTAGGGAGTTAGAGACCACAGCTGTATACTGTAATCAATACACACCCACCCAAAATACATAAATGCTTATAAAGATTATGTGAGGCAAGTTGTTATCTCCATATTTCAGAGAGATAACTTAACACAGCTAGTAAGTGATATAGAACATCTTAAAACCCCAATTTGGTGTAGGTCCAAACTCCTTTTCCTTCTACATACAGCCATTAAGTCCTCTCAAAATAAGTCCTCTCAGTATATCATCAAAATAATTCCCCAGAGGTTTAAGTCTTGATTAGGTATCTCTTAGTGCATAACTTCATTGGTCAACATTTTTTAATCTAAGGAATAATCCCATCTCAGACCCACTATATTAAAATTGTAATGTTCAACAGATACCAATAACACTTGTTATCTTGTATGCTGTATCTTGTAACTCTTGTAACATGCAGAAATAAAATGTGACTAAGTGTTATAACTGTAATACCACATATAATCAATGTATACTGAAAACAAAAGATGAATACAAGTTATGTTGAGCACCTCTTCTGAGTATTACAAACTTAACACAGCTTTTTCCTTTCTTAAAATATGTATACATTTTTTTGGCACCATCTGTAAATCAGAGAAAGCTTGTTGCATTTCTGCTTCCAATTATAAAAATCTCTGTAATACCAAATACAGTATTTTAAGTAACATACTGGGTGGCCATAAAGTTCATGTGCAACTTAAAAGAGTATACCATTTTAAATTGCACATGAACTTTATGGCCAACCTGTATAAATAGATATTAACATGTATATAAACAAACACAGGGTGGTGCCTGTAGATTAATCAGCTAAGGCACCAGCCAAATACACCACAGCTGGTGGGTTCGAATCCAGCCGAGGACTGCCAAACAATGACAACTACAACCAAAAAAGAGCCGGGTGCTGTGGCAGGCACCTGTAGTCTCAGCTACTCAGGAGGGTGAGGCAAGAGAATCGCTTAAGCCTTGGAGTTGGAGGTTGCTGTGAGCTATGATGCCACAGCACTCTACCCAAGCGATAACGATACCCCTCAAGCAATAGCTTGAGGCTCTGTCTCAAAACAAACACACACACAGACATGGTAATTTCACAAGTTATCTATCTTTTTTTTTCAGTGTAACAAGGAGAAATTTTATTTAAGAACAAAGGAAACGTTTAGAGCAGTTCCAAAGAGTTGGAAGTGGGTCCCTCTCACAATGAAGAGGTGAGAGAGACAGAGACAACAAATTCTCTACTTAAAAGAGGGAGATAAAGTAGTTTCACTAATATCTGGGATTATCCAGTTCCTAGCTTACCTGTTAGTGGAGTCCCCTGAAAAGTCTGTGATCCCTGATAGCCATCAGGCACTGTGTCTAATCCATAATTCTCTGTAGGCCAACGATGAGGGGATGCTGAGTTACTGCTATTTAGTTTCAGTTCCTGCATTTCTTTCTATTGGAAGAAAAAAACTATTTTAAAGATTTAATTACATTATGACAGCAACAGTACTAGTGTAAACAAATAAACTTAAATGCCTGATGTCTCAAAAGAGATTCTATTTTCCAATGAGATCTGGCTGTCACATGATTTAACAACATGATGCTGAATTTGTTAAGTTTATCTGCTCCCATTCTTTCATTAGGTAATCACCTACCTAATTCACTCATTGCAACTCAACCTGAACTGAATAACTCCCCTAAATGATTTCATACCACTGCCAGTCTACACTTGCCCATGTTAATCTTTCTGAAGTTCAATTCCAGCCAAGAAATTTCCCTGCTCAAAAAACTAAGTACCTACAAATTAAACCTCCTTCTCCAATCTTTAGGGTCCTCAAGTAGTACTGCCTTGACCATTCTTGTTGTGTCTCCTTTCCATACAGTTTACTCTTCAGTCCATCAGGACTAGTCAACATTCCTTACCTCCTCTTGAAACTAGCATTCCACTTATCCACAAGCTGTTAATGAAACACTATTGATTCCTAAGGTGATGCTCAAATGATCCACGAGAGAAGAAAAAACAAATAATATGTAGACAGAATTTATTACATATATAACAATATGTTCCTGGCACTTAAGTTCTTAATTTTTACATAGGCAAACAACATTAACTCGTATCTTTTTTTTTTTTTTTTTATTAAATCATAGCTGTGTACATTAATGCAATTATGGGGTACAATGTGCTGGTTTCATATACAATTTAAAATACTTTCATCAAACTGGTTAATATAGCCTTGATCAAATTTTCATATTCTTAAGATATTTATATTCTACACTTAAATAGGTTTAACTTGTACCCTTGTAAAATACACTGTAGGTGTGGTCCCACCTACTACCCTCCCTCCACCTATCCTCCCCCCTCACTCTTTTCCCTTCTTCTTGGGCTATAGTTGGGTTATAGCATTCATATGGAAGTGTGGGTGTTTATAAATTGGGTTTCATAGTAGGACTAAGTACATTGGATACTTTTTCTTCCATTCTTGAGACACTCTGCTAAGAATATGTTCCAGCTCCATCCATGTAAACATAAAAGAGGTACAGTCTCCATCTTTTTTAAGGCTGCATAATATTCCATGGTGTACACATACCACAATTTATTAATCCACTCCTGGGTCAATGGGCACTTGGGATTCTTCCATGATTTAGCAATTATGAATTGGGCTGCAATAAACATTCTGATGCAAGTATCTTTGTTATAAAGTGATTTTTGGTTTTCTGGATATATACCTAGTAGAGGAATTGAAGGATCAAATGGCAAGTCTATTTTTAGATCCCTAAGTGATCTCCACACATCTTTCCAAAAGGAACATATTAGTTTGCATTCCCACCAGCAGTGAAGAAGTGTTCCCTTTTCTCTACGTCCATGCCAACATCTATGGTATTGGGATTTTGTGATCAGGCTAATCTTACTGGCATTAGATGATATCTCAAAAGTAGTTTTGATTTGCATTTCTCTAAAGATTAAAGATGATGAGCATTTTTTCTAGTGTCTGGAGACCATGAACCTGCCTTCATCAGAGAAGTTTCTCTTTCAGCCCCTTCCCCACACTGAGATGGGATCACTTGTTCTTTTCTTGCTAATATGTTTGAGTTCTCTGTGGATTCTGGTTATTAAGCCTTTATCAGAGACATAACCTGCCAATATTTTCTCCCATTCTGAAGGCTATCTGCTTGCTTTACTGTGTTCTTGGCTGTGCAGAAGCTTTAGTTTGATCAGATCCCAGTAATATATTTTTGGTGTTGCTTCAATTGCCTGGAGGGGTCCTCCTCATAAAATATTCTCCCAGGCTGATTTCCCTGCACTTAACTTCTAGTATTTTTATAGTTTCATGTCTTACATTTAAATCTTTAATCCAGTGAGAGTCTATCTTAGTTAATGGTGAAAGGTGTGGGTCTAGTTTCAGTCTTCTACAGGCAGGTTGCCAGCCAGTTTACCCAGCACCATTTGTTAAATAGGGAGTCTTTTCCCCACTGAATGTTTTTAATTGGCTTATTGAAGATCAAATAACAGTAAGTAGCTGGGTTCATCTTTTGATTCTCTAGTCTGTTCCATATATCTAACTCTCTGTTTTTGTGCCACTATCACGCTATTTTGCTCACTATTGATTTATAGTATAGTCTTGAGGTCTGGTAGCGTGATTCCTTCTGCTTTGTTTTTATTTCTGAGTAATGTCTTGGTTATTCAAGGTTTATTCTGCTTCGATATAAAACAAAGTATTATGTTTTCAAGATCTTTAAAGTATGACAATGGTGCTTTAATAGGGACTGCATTAAAATTTATGTTGCTTTCGGTAGTATGGACATTTTAATAATGTTGATTCTTCCCAGCCATGAACATGGTATGTTTTTCCATTTGTTAACATCTTCAGCTATTTCTTTTCTCAGAGTTTCATAGTTCTCTTTATAGAGATCTTTCACGTCCTTTGTTCGGTAAACTCTCACATATTTCATCATCTTTGGCACTACTGTGAAAGGAATAGAGTCCTTGACTGTTTTTTCAGCTTGACTATTGTTGGTATATATAAAGGCTACAGATTTGAGTAATGATTTTGTAATCTGAGAGGCTGCTGTACTCCCTGATCACTTCTAAGGGTTTTGTAGTAGAATCCCTGGGGTTTTCCAAATATACAATCATATCACCTGTGAAGAGTGAAAGTTTAATCTCCTCTGACCCTACATGGATACCCTTGATCACCTTCTCTTGCCTGATTACGAAGGCTAAGGCTTCGGTTGTAATGTTAAAAGGCAGTGGAGACAATGGGCAACCTTGCATGGTTCCTGAACTGAGTGGAAATTATTTCAATTTAATTCCATTCAATACAATATTGGCTATGGGTTTGCTGTAGATGGTCTCTATCAGTTTAAGAAATGTCCCTTCTATACCAATTTTCTTACATGTTCTGATCATGAAAGAATGCTTGATATTATCAAAAGCTTTTTCTGCATCAATTTAGAGAATCATAGGGTTTTTGTTTCTTCATTTGTTTATGTGATGAAGTACGTTTATAGATTTACATATATTGAACCACTCTTGAGACCCTGGAATACAACACACTTGGTCATGGTGTATAATTTGATGTGATGCTGGATTCTGTTTGCTAGGATCTTGTTGAATATTTTTGCATCAATATTCATTTGTGATATTGGTCTATAATTTTCCTTTCTTATTGGGTCTTTTCCTGGTTTGGGGATCAAGGTGATGTTTGCTTCATAGAATGTGTTGGGTAGTATTCTATCTTTTTCTATATTTTGGAAAAGGTTAAGTAATATAGGTAACTAGTTCCTCTTTAAAGGTTTGGTAGAATTCTGATGTGAAGCCATTTGGTCTTGGGCTTTTCTTTTCAGGGAGATTTTGTACAGTTGATGCTATTTCAGAACTTGAAATAGGCCTATTCAACATTTCCACTTCATTCTGGCTAAGTCTAGGAAGGCGGTAAGCTTCCAAGTGTTGGTCAATTTCTTTCAGATTTTTATATTTCTGAGAATAGAGTTTCTTGTAATATTCATTAAGGATTTTTTGAATTTCTGAGGAGTCTGTTATTTCATCTTTGCCATTTCTGATTAATGAAATTAGAGATTTTACTTTTTTTCCTTGCTAGGTTAGCCAAACGTTTATCTATTTTATTGACCTTTTTAAAAAACCAGTATTTAGATTTATTGATTTGTTGTATAATCATTTTGTTTTCAATTTCATTTAATTCTGCTCTAATTTTGGTTATTTCTTTTCTTCTGCTAGGTTTGGGATTGGAATGTTCTTCCTTTTCCAGTTGTTTGAGATGTCCCATTAAGTTGTTAACTTCCTCTCTTTCCATTCTCTTAAGGAAGGCTTATAATGCTATAAATTTCCCTCTTAGGGCTGCCTGTGCAGTATCCCAGAGGTTCTGATAATTCATGTCTTCATTATCATTCTGTTCAACAAATTTGGTAATTTCTTTCTTAATCTTGTGTATGACCCAGCTGTCATTCAGCATAAGGTTATTTAGTTTCCATGTTTTTGTATGTGTATGCAGATTCCTGTTGTTACTGAGTTCAACTTTTATTCCATGATGGTCCAAGAAGATGCAAGGAATAATTTCTATTCTTTTAAAGTTGCTGAGGTTAGACTTGTAACCTAAAATGTGATCAATTTTGGAGGATGTTCCATGGGCTGATGAGAAGAATGTGTGTTTAGTTTTATTAGGATGAAATGTTCTGTAGATGTCTGTTAAACCCAATTCTTGGATGGTTAAGTTTATGTCTAAAATTTCTTTGCTTCGTTTCTTATTGGAGGATCTATCCAACACTGCCAAAGGGGTGTTAAAATCTCCGACTATTATGGTGCTGGAGGAAATCAAGTGGCTCATGTCTATTAGTCTCTCTTACAAATTGAGGCGCATTCTGGTTGGTACATAAATGTTAATAAGTGAAATCTCATCATGTTGAGTGTTACCTTTAACAAATATGAAGTGATCATCCTTATCGTTCCTTACTTTTGTTGATTTAAAGCCTACTGTATCTGCTAATAAAATTGAAACACATGCTTTTTTCTGATTTCCATTTGCCCCAATTATAGATGACCACCCCTTCACCCTGAGTTTGTATTTATCTTTGAAGGCAAGATGAGATTCTTGTATGCAGCAAACATTAACTCATATCTTAGAATGAGAAAGAAATACAGCTAAAATCTGACTCCAAAAATATTTTCATAACCTCTCTGCTGTCCAGACAGGACTCCGATATTTTACCTCCTCCTCCTTTTCTGGGGGGAAGAAGGGGGATAAATCACTTTATTCTAATGTCCTCACAAATAATATCACAATAGCCAAGGCCCGGTGCGGTGGCTCACGTCTATAATCCTACCACTCTGGAAGGCCGAGGCAGGTGGACTGCCTGAGCTTACAGGTTCAAGACCAGCCTGAGCAAAAGCAATATTCCATCTCTACTAAAATAAAGGCATGTGGACTGCTTTCTTTCTTTCTTTCTTTTTTTTTTTTTTTTTTTGTGAGACAGAGCCTCAAGCTGTTGCCCTGGGTAGAGTGCTGTGGCATCACAGCTCATAGCAACCTCCAACTCCTGGGTTCAAGCAATTCTCCGCCTCTGCCTCCCAAGTAGCTGGAACTACAGGCACCCACCATAATGCCCCGCTATTTTTTGGTTGCAGCCATCATTGTTGTTTGGTGGGCCTGGGCTGGATTTGAACCCACTAGCTCAGGTATATATGGCTGGCGCGTTAGCTGCTTGAGCCACAGGCGCCGAGCCAAGAGGACAGCTTGTGCCCAAGTTCGAGGTTGCTATGAGCTGTGACACCACCACACTCTATCCAGGACAACAGCTTAAGACTCTGTTTTTTGTTTTTTTTTTTTTAAAAATCACAACAGCTGGTCTAAAGAGGCTACACCAACATTTGCCCAGCCCTAAATTCTTTCCCATCTCAATGAACTTCTACACATTACAACATCTTATTCCACTATAATTTTGAAGCAAGGAAGCTATTAATAACAGAGGAGAGGTTTAACTGATGGTTTTATACTTTATACTTTCATTATCAATTACATATCATGCTAAATTAACCTGGTCTTGAGAGGCAATTTCCATTTCTTCAATTTGAGTATCTTGATAAAGATAAGCCATTTTTAAGTTTGCACTATTTCAGCAGCACCTCACTGAAACCCTCACTTAGCTTTCTGTCAGTCTGATTCTATAAAATGAAAAACTATTTCATGTCCTAGAAGCAAGGGCCAACCTGCTGTTGTGCTGGCTAGCTTCCGAGAATCTCCCAATAAGTGATAGCAGGGTTTGAGGGTTCAGCATGACATCCTTCATTGAAGCCCCCAGTGATGGCACAACCCAATGTGTGCCCACTGCAAAGCCTACAGACACACAGGATGCAACAGATGCCTTCTAGCTCATCAGAGCTGGCTGCAGCAGCAGGTGAGCCAACTGCTAATGTTGGGTCTGCTGCTGGTGGCTGAACTGCTGGTGCTGGCCTGGGTGCAGTTCTCATCCGAGGTTCCCAGCTGGTTGAAGGAGCCAAGCAGAAGGTACAGCTTTGGGTTCCACGACTAAAAATCTGCAGAGCCCAGCAGCTTCTGCCTAGATATACTGCCTTCTAATATATGTGGCTAGCTCTCTCATCTCTGCTAAAGACAAATAAATGAGAACATCCTACCCCAACTCCAGAACCAATAAAATGTCCCCTTGCAAAATAGACCCTTTTAACAAACAGAAATAATCAAGAAAGTATTTCTTATTCCAAAGAAACTATAGCAGTATCAGGTCAATTTTGAAAATACTTTCAAACTTCTCTATACCAGATCAGACATCCGATAGTTACAACAACTGAGATGTGAAGCAGAGCTAACATGTCTACTTTCTCATTCTACAACTGTTTCAAGTAAAAATTTCCCAGAAAGACATAACTATGAGATCCAAAACTCTTAAATTATTAAGCTAAATAAAAATTTCCCTACTCATTTATCTACTACACCCAGTCTAGATGCTGCACATCCCAAAATAAGGAATTGGTGGGATCAAATGAAAAACTTTATTAGTCACTACTGGTATTTGGACTACAGTCTTGAATATGCAAACAGTGGCACAATCATGATTTTTAAAGTTTAAAGTACTGAAAATTGTGATGAGAACTGGTTTCAAAAATTCCCATACTTTACAGAGGAGAAACCACGAAACAGACACAAAGGTAAGGAAGTCACTGGTCCAAGACAATTAATTAGTGGCAGTCAGTGCTAACACCCAGCTTTTCAGGCTCATAGACTAGTCCACTATACTTCCACAGAATACAATATTGAGTGCCTGAGCCTCAAATCAAAATTTATATACTATTATAAGTCACGATTACACAAAATATAAAAAAAATTTTGTGTAACTTCAAAAAATTTCCTCTAAAAACAGTATTTTGTTACGTTCCCCACACTACTGATAACAATAATAATTGCCACATCAGGATATCCTTCATATAATATTAAATGTATGAGGAATTTAGTTGTTACCCAATGTGCATTAATAATCTACTTGTATTTCCAATTCCAAAGAAATAAAGCTTATCTAAACCCTATAATCTTTGTGTGTGTGTGTGTTACCTTATATGAGCCCTGAGCTTTAGCTTTTGGGTGCTTTTACACTGATGGGTTCTGATCTATATATAACACAGTTCTGAATAGTTTCCCTCCAGGGTGTGTCTGGTCTCTTTTTTTGTATATATATAAATGTGATCCATTGGAATTTTATTTTATTATTTTATTTTATTGAGACAGAGCCTCAAGCTGTCACTCTGGGTAGAGTGCTCTGGCATCACAGCTCACAGCAACCTCCAAATCCTGGGCTCAAGCGATTCTCCTGCCTCTGCCTCCCAAGTAGCTGGGACTATAGGCACTGCCACAATGCCGGCTATTTTTTTTTTTTGGCTGCAGCCATCACTGCTGTTTGGTGGACCCAGGCTGGATTTGAACCCGCCAACCCAGGTGTATATGGCTGGCATCTTAGCCTCTTGAGTCATAGGCACCAAAGAATCTGGTTTTGACAAATTCCTTCAGTATTTATTTGCCTAAAAAAGTCTTTATTTCTCATTCATCTAGGAACCTTCGTTTACAGGATACAAAATTATACGTTGACAGTTGTTCTTTTTGAGAAGACTGAAGATGAGGCCCCAATCCCTTCTGGCTTATGTCTATAACAACGTTTGCAGTAAGCTTGATGGGTTTTCCTTTGTAAGTTGCTCAATAATAGTTACTGCTTTGTGTTGACTTTGGCCAGACTGGTAGTGCTTGCCTATGTTCAATGACTTTCATAGGTTCCACTGAGCTTCTTATATCTGGACATCTTAATCTCTAACAAGACCAGGGAAATTTTCCTCCATTATTCCTTCAAGTAGATTTTTCAACCCTTGTGTGTTTTCTTCTTTACTCACAAGGAAACCTATGATGTTATATTTGGCCATTTTACATAATTCCAAATTTCTGTTAGGCCTTATTCATGCTGGTTGAGTTTTCGTTCTTTTTTTTTTTTTTGAGACAGAGCCTCAAGCTGAGCTCCTGGGTAGAGTGCCATGGCTTCACTGCTCACAGCAACCTCCAACTCCTGGGCTCAAGTGAGTCTCCGGCCTCTGCCTCCCAAGTACCTGGGATCACAGGCACCTGCCACAACGCCCAGCTATTTTTTTGGTTGCAGCCATTATTGTGGTTTAGCTACCCGGGCTGGATTCGAACCCGCCACCTTAAGTGTATGTGGCTGGCGCCTTAGCTGCTTGAGCCACAGGCGCCGAGCCTGAGTTTTCGTTCTTAAACCTCATAATCTTAAAATAAGATTATGTACACGTAACTATTTCCTTATATATAAAAAAAAATTTTTGAAATGTATACCACTCTTTCAATTCCTACCTATAAATTTGACACATACCTAATCCATAGCCACTCTGTGAACGAACTCACTGACCAAGGTATTACCGTTATATTTCAGTAGGTCAATCACCTGGGAATCTCCTCTGTACCAGAACTGTATTGTATTTTGGCTAAAACAGTCTCAACCTTTGAAGGATTTGAATTTTGTGAAGAAGGAAATACATATGTAATTTCAAAAAACATGGCAAAGGGTCAAGACAGAGAGATGTAAAACATAGTATGATTCTATAGCAGGATGGAAAAGGGACATACTGACTAGCTTTAGAAAGAAGTAAGGAAGTGGGGCGGCGCCTATAGCTCAGTGGGTAGAGCACCAGCCACTGAGGTTTCTTCGATTTGAACCTGGCCCAGCCAGCTAAAACAACAACAACTGTGACAAAAAAAAATAGCTGGGCATTGGTGGGCACCTGTAGCCCCAGCTACTTGGGAGGCTGAGGCAAGAGAATCACTTAAGCCCAAATGTTTGAGGTTGGTGTGAGCTGTGACACCATGGCACTCTACCCAGGGCAACAACTTGAACTCTGTCTCAAAAAAAAAAAAAAAAAAAATAGAAGTAGTGAGGAAATTGTCAGTGAGAGAATCTTGGAATAATAGGCAGTGGTTAGAGAAATTGAGTGATTTACCTTAATGGCCTCTACTTGTTGGCAAATCATTTTCAGTAAAGAATTCTGATCTTCTGCCCATTGAGGTGGTGTTCTGGGAGAATACTAAAAAGAAGAAACAAAACAAAAGAATAATTACAAAACAGTACTTACAACACTTAGAATAGTAACAAATTCACAATAAAGTGATTAACTTCTTTCCTACTTACCCTGTAACTTTTACTTGGAGAGAATGAGTATTTGGTGGGAGATGGTGAATGTTTTATTTCTCCATCTGCATTTCGCCAAGAACCATTTTTATAAAAAGGACCTCCTTCACTGTAGTCTTCAAGTTCCTGCATGACTGAATTAAGCATCTCTTTTACAGACTCCAGAGGCACAGGCAACTAAAAACAAAAAGCATTTATCAATGGCTTTAGTTTGTAAAAATACCAAAAGTTAAGAACTCTAAATACAAAGATTTTATATTAATACTATTTACAATTTTCTAACTTTAACAAGCACTTTAAACAGAAATACAAATGATTATGTTATAAACTGTGAAGTCTTCTCACTCTACAGTCTATTCTGCTTCTTTACTTCTCTTGGCCACAAGGATGGTAGAAGAACATTAGAAGTTGGAAAAGTTTTTCCAAGTGAACAAAATAAGTTACTGATACTTTCTAATTAACTTTGAACAGAGTGAAACACAGGCACCAGAATACATCCAACAACGTGAATCCTAATCAAAGAGTAGCAACACAAAATATACAACAAAGTACTCAGAAAGAAATAATGTCACACCATCAAGCCAGTCTCAAATTGCTGACAACTAGAAAACAAGACATTCTCCACAGGAGATGAAATAAGAAGAAATGAGCTGGTAGCTCATGCCTGTAATCCTAGCACTCTGAGAGGCCAAGGCAGATGGATTACCTAAGCTCACAGGTTTAAGACCAGCCTGAGCAAGAGTGAGACCCCTCCCCTAAAAAAAAAAAAAAAAAGAAAAAAGCATATTCAGTAAGATCCTAGCAAACAGAATCCAGCATCACATCAAACAAATTATACACCATGACCAAGTGGGTTTTATCCCAGACTCTCAAGGCTGGTTTAATGTATGTAAATCTATAAACATAATTCATCACATAAACAAATTAAGAAACAAAGACCACATGATTCTCTAAATTGATGCAGAAAAAGCTTTTGATAATATCAAGCATTCTTTCATGATCAGAACACGTAAGAAAACTGGTATAGAAGGGATATTTCTTAAACTGATAGAGGCCATCTACAGCAAACCCACAGCCAATATTGTATTGAATGGAGTTAAATTGAAATCATTTCCACTCAGTTCAGGAACCAGGCAAGGTTGCCCATTGTTTCCATTGCTATTTAACATTGTAACGGAAGTTTTAGCCATCGCAATCAGGGAAGAAAAGGTGATCAAGGGCATCCAGATAGGGTCAGAAGAGATTAAACTTTCACTTTTCGAAGATGATATGATTGTATATGTGGAAAACCCCAGGGATTCTACTACTAAACCCTTAGAAGTGATCAAGGAATACAGCAGCATCTCAGGCTACAAAATCAATACTCACACATCAGTAGCATTCATATATACCAGTAACAGTCAAGCTGAAAAAACAATCATGGACTCAATTCCCTTTATAGTAGTGCCAAAGAAAATGAAACATCTGGGAGTATTCCTAACAAAGGATGTGAAAGATCTCTATTAAGACAACTATGAAACTCTGAGAAAAGAAATAGCAGAAGATGTCAACAAATGGAAAAACATACCATGTTCACGGTTAGGAAGAATCAACATTGTTAAAATGTCCATATTACCCCAGAAGTGCAATAATGTACATAGTTACCATTCAATAAAAAAGAAAAAAAAATGTCCATATTACCCAAAGCAATTCACAAATTTAATGCAATTCCCATTAAAGCACCTCTGTCATACTTTAAACATCTGGAAAAACTAGTACTTCATTTTATATGGAATCAGAAAAAACCTAAAACAGCCAAGACATTACTCAGAAATAAAAACAAATCAGAAAAAAAAAATAAAAAATAAAAAATAAAAACAAATCAGATGGACTCATGCTACTAGACTTCAGATTATACTATATATCTATAGTGATCAAAACTGCATGGTATTGGCACAAAAATAGAGAGGTAGATGTATGGAATAGAATTGAGAACCAAGAGATGAATCCAGGCATTTATCGTCATTTGATCTTTGATAAGCCTATCAAAAACTTAAATTGGGGGAAAGACTCCCTATTTAACAAATGGTGCTGGGAGAATTGGCTGGCAACTTATAGAAGACTGAAACTAGACCCTCACTTTTCACCTCTAACAAAAATTGACTCTCACTGGATAAAAGACTTAAACCTAAGACATGAAACCATACAGATTCTTGGAAAGAGTGCAGGAGAAACACTTGAAGACATAGGTCTGGGAGAAAACTTTATGAGGAAGTCCCCCAGGGCAACTGAAGCAGTTCCAAGAATACATTACTGGGATCAGATCAAATTAAAAAGCTTCTGCATTGCCAAGAACACAGTAAGTAAAGTAAGCAGATTGCTCTCAGAATGGAAGAGGATATTTGCAGGGTATGTTTCTGACAAGGGTCTGATATCCAGAATCCACAGAGAACTCAAACTCAGTATAAAGAAAAGAACAAGTGATCCCATTTCACTATGGGCAAGAGACCTGAACAGAAACTTCTCTGAAGAGAGAGGTACATGGTATACAGACACACGAAAAAATGCTCATCTTCCTTAATCACCAGAGAAATGCAAATCAAAACCACTTTGAGATATCATCTAACTTCAGTAAGAGTAGCCTACATCACAAAATACCAAAACTACAGATGTTGGCGTGGATGGGGAGAAAAGGGAATACTTCTGCACTGCTGGTGGGAATGCAAGCTAGTACGTTCCTTTTGGAAAGAAGTTTGGAGAACACTCAGGGATCTAAAAATTGACCTGCCATTGGATCCTGCAATTCCTCTACTAGGAATATATCCAAAAGACCAAGAATTACTTAGCAAAGAAGATATCTGCACCAGATTATTCACTGCAGCTCAATTCGTAATAGCCAAGTCATGGAAGAAGACCAAGTGCCCCTCGATCTATGAATGAATTAATAAATTGTGGTATATGTATACCATGGAATACTATGCAGCCTTAAAAAAGATGAAGCCTTTACCTCTTTTATGTTTACATGGAGGGATCTGGAATATATCTTCTTGAGTAAAATGTCTCAAGAATGGAGGAGAAAGTATCCAGTATACTTAGCATTCCTATGAAACTTACTTATATTTACTCACACATTCTTGTAAAAAACAGAACACAACTATAGCCCAAGATGATGGAGAGAAGTGGAGGGGAGGGGGGAGATTCAATAGAGGGAGGGTAAAAGGAGGGATCACACCTATGGAACATATGACAAGGGTACAAGTCAAATCGGTGAAATGTAGAACACAGATGTTTTGGCACAATAATCAAGTAAATGAGGTGAAAGCTATGTTGATTGGTTTAATGTAACCACATTAGATTGTATAAAAAAAACAGCACAGTGTACCCTACATATGCATGGATGTATTCATGATCTATGTGTACTTGACTTAATTAAAAAAAAAAAAAAAAAAAGCGGACCTTGTAGCGAGCGCCTGGAGGGCACTGCTCAGGAGTCTGAGGCAAGAGAATCACTTAAGCCTAAGAGTTGGAGGTTGTTGTGAGCTATGACGTCACAGCACTCTACCGAGGGCAATAAAATAAGACTCTGTCTCAAAAAGAAAAAAAAGAAGAAGAAATGCTCTGAAGTTGCCAACACCTTTCAATTTCAGTGAAATTCTTTAAGAACCCTGAATACTAGAATAATAGTTTTGATTAGATTCCCAGAATCACAAAATATTACATCTTAGATCTTTTCTAATTCCCTAAGTACTTTTGGAAGAGCATATACCTAAGATTCCTAAGTTTTAAAAATAGACACACCAAGCCTAATACATAGAAACCCAATAAAACACAGATATCCTCCTCCTATGCATTAGTAATAAGGTGTTATGAAGTGTTTTTGAAATTGCCAAAATACAAAACCAAGACAAAAACACTGATTGCTCATCCGTAAAAACTATATACAACCATCTGCAACTTACTTTCTTGACTACTGAAAGATTTGAATCACTGTCATCTATAATCTTTAGTAGGTAGTCCCTGGTCTTTCTCAGATAATTTTTGCACTCTTCTTGTTCTTCAGGAGAAAGGGCATCATTTTCAATGTCTTCTGCCTTCCTGTGAAAAATCTAAACAAATGGTGCTTTTATGAAATAATTAGGTTTTGTTTTGGTTTTTTTTTAAAGAAATCATAGCTATTTATTTATTTATTTATTTATTTTTGTAGGGGTTTTTTTGGCCAGGGCTGGGTTTGAACCTGCCACCTCTGGCATATGGGACCAGCACCCTACTCCTTTGAGCCACAGGGGCCGCCCAACAATTAGGTTTTAAAAAAGAACCTTTTAGTTCAAGTATCCCATCTACTTACCAGTGCGAGATTCCAATAAGAAACAACATTTTTTATAGATTCAAAAGCAGTCATAGCATCTTCTATATTTCCATTAACTACATCCAATATAGCAAAAGTTACATGTGCATCTTCTTCATATTCACCAATTTCAGATGCCTAAAGACATTTAGTAATTTTCAGTCAAATTATTTTTACTCAGATTATTTTTACTCACTTAAATCTTTTTCAAAGATTTTGTATGATCTAAAGATAATAACATCTCATTAATTTGTTTCTGTCATATTTTACTTGTGACAGGTAAAAGATTTAGAAAACCAACCAATTAAATAACAAGGCAATTAATTTGAGTGTTTATATTTCCATTTCTTTTGTTTATAAGCTGGAAATCTACATCTCTAGTAAGTTCACAAAGAATGGATTCTCTTGTTACCTGAATGTCTGCACTATGAAAATGTTTAAACAGAGGATCAGTAGGTTCAGGAATACTGCACTTCTTTTTGATTATCTTCAGTAAAGGTAACACTTTTTTCCAATAATGAACACTTCTGCCTATGTATTCCCGTTGATCGTAAAAAGAGTTAAGACCGCTACCCTAAAACAGAAAGAGTCGAAGCACAAAACTTAATGAACTCATGATTAAATCTAAAAATTCATTTCAAGACACTAAGAACTATAAAATTTTAAGTCAAAACCAAATGGAATCTCAAAGTTGTTTGCTCAACTTTCTATTGGATAATGACCTTAATACCAGGGATCATCCCAGACTCAACTTTTAGACATTTTCAATGATTTTATTTTTTAAGAGTTGTCATTTTTAAATGGCCAAAATTTGCCTCTCTATATTGTCAGTTTGGTCAAAGGGCTAACCAAAATTTGCCTCTACGTAAGACCAGTTAGTCAAAAGGCTAACCATCTACACCTAATTCTGCCACACAACAGACCTTATATTTATATTTATCTTAATATACATATGTACATACACACTTACTCATTCACTCATTTATTTAACAAACAGGGTCTCACTATGTTACCCAGGCTCATCTCAAATTCCTGGGGTCAAACAATCCTCCTGTCTAAGCTTCCCACACCTGGCTAGATTTCAAATACTCAGACAGACCTAGAACACCTTTACCTACAAAGCCTTGTGTTTCAGGCTGACCAATAACAACAACTCCATTACTAAATAATAATAATAGCACTGCTCCACTAAGTGCTTATATACAAGGGCTGTCCATAAAGTAAACAGCCTTGGACATGAAAAATAATATTAACAATGGCTGAATACTTCGGAGATAGCCCTCTTGTAACAGTAAAATATTTTACGGCAAGAATAAAGATATACTTCTCTTGGCACAATGTAAATAAGCTGCTGTTTCCAGAACTAAAAACCTTCAATAAAAAGTTCATGATTTTTAAAAAATTAATGTTCTTCACAAAGATTTGCACTTTAATAAACTCACCGTTTTCTGAAGGCATTTTGCCCAATGTACAAGCAGAGCAGGTTGTAGGCCATGTTTTTCCTGGCCTCTTAGAGTATTTATTTCATGTTGAACTAGAAGTCGCAATTTTGCTGAGGTTCCAGGTCTAAAAAAAAGTTTAATATGAATGCACTAGAAACACACAGTGCAACATTTACATGTATATTAACTGTCACATAACAAGTTAAGTTTTCACTTCTTTTACTAGGGATTTAGTTTCTCAAAGCAGTAATATGTTAAAAGAATATATATGCTTTACTACTTACACTGCTTTTCTGAGAATCAGATTACAAACTGCATCCCACCAAGTTTTTTGTCTTTCTGTATAAAGCTGTTTACACACAGGAAGAGGTAAGCATAAAGGCTGATAGGCGCTATAGTGAGAACTACATTTCTCCTTTAATTGTAGGTGGCTGGTGTATATCACTCCAAGTAGAAATACCTGTTTTATTTAAAGAACAATTAATTTAGAAAAAAAGTTAAACAAAACTCAAAATATTTAATTTGTTAAAAATCTTCCTTACTTCAAGATCTAAAATACATATTGACTCAGGTGCATTTGTTTCAAGTCTTGAGGTTTCCTGGGGCAAATGATGAAAAAGCTGTTTTAGCCATTTTCGAATTGCAGGTAAAGTAGGCAATGAATTCCACTGTAATCCAAGCCAAGTAAGGTGTTGAAGACTACCGTTATGAGCTCGAATGGCACCTGAAATTTAAAAAACAAAATTGGCTTGAGGTTTTGAAAATTTTCCTTGTGCTATCAGTTTTGCTAAAATAAACAATTAATGCATGCTAAATATACCTTACATAATTGCTTTCCTGTTATCAGAGCTGGAAGAAATTCTATGATAAGCAAAATGTAATGTACTTATTATATGCATTCACATTTTATATCTAGAAATCTTAGTAACAATAGTTATGAACTAGGTACAAGGGCTCATATCTATAATCCTAGCACCATAGGAGCCTCTGGCACAAAGATCACTTGAAGCAAGGGGCCAACACAGGCAGGCCCCATCTCTACAAAAAAATTTTAAAAACTGGGCAGCGCCTGTGGCTCAAAGGAGTGGGGCACTGGCCCCATATGCCAGAGGTATAGCAGGTTCAAACCCAGCCCTGACCAAAAAAAAAAAAGAAAATTTTTTAAAAATCAAGCCAGTATGGTTGCTTGCACCTATAGTCCTAACTACTCAGGAGATGAGAGAATCATTTGAACACAGGAGGTTAAGGCTGCAGTGAGCTATGACAATGCTACTGCACTTTAGAACAGACAACATAGACCCTTGTCTCCCCAACCTGACCAGAAAAGAAAAAAAAGAAAGAAAAACACAGTTGTAACAGAGATTCATTTCTTCAAGTACCCAGTAAAACAAAATCTACTTTCAGAAGCCAAATAAATAATACTCATGTAATTAGAAATTCCAAAATAATAGATTTTCCTTTCAATAAAGAGTCATAAAACAAGAGAATACCAACATATTAATGCATTAATAAAGAGATTTTTTTCTTCTACAACAAAGTCAATATTAAAAAGGTCATAGAGTTCCGGGGTAGTTTGCAAGAGACTTAAAAATGGTCATTTCTTTTAATTCTGTTTTTAGGACTCTATGGGATTAATCTGAAATGTAGATACTTATAATGAAGTTTTCATTGCAATATTATTTTTAATAGTATAAAACTAGACACAACTTGAATGTCCAAAAATAGAAAGTAAAATAGAAATTATGACTAATTCATAAAAAAAGATAGCCATTGAAAGTGTTATTTATAAGGTTATAGCGCAGACACAATGGGAGAGAATTTATCAAAGAAGACAAATCATGGCTCGGCGCCTGTGGCTCAAGTGGCTAAGGCGCCAGCCACATACACCTAAGGTGGTGAGTT